TTTCTTCTAGTCGCTTGACATTCTATGAGGTAATGTCAGGTATGAACATCAAGTGATAATTAAATCTAAAAATGCAAGAAATGATTTTTATTTCTAAGGATCAAACTTTGAAAGCATGGGGATTTATTAATTAAGGGCTTGCTATAGTGATAATGAGATTTAGCACAAGGATTTGAATTCAAAGAAATTTCTTAACAATGAAGAATTACTTTTTTAAAAATTATATTTAATATGATACCTATATGGGATTTATAATTGAAGCTTTGCTTGAAGATTGTGATTCTATATAGAAATTTATATCAAGGGATCAACATATTATACCCAAATAGTTGTGTTCAATAATGTATTAACAAACTAGCTGTAATATTCTGTAGGTCTCCAAGTGATTTGATATCTCCCCATCAATGGTGTTTGGTATTTTTTTGTTGGCATATAGTTATGTGAGGAGCAAATATGATATTTATGATTATTGTTTTTTGCTGATTCTAACATCTTTGTTTTTATAGTGTCCATTGACGAGATTATAATTGTATGAAAATCAATGGCTAGATTTTTTAAGTTGTTATATGAACTACATCCAATTTTTGAGATGTACAAGCCTTTGTTATATGCTACTAGAATTTGTGAAACCCAAAGATCTCACTAAAATGAGAAGTTTGGTTGACGTAGAGTGCACTATGATTTATTTACCAAATTAAACAAGGTGGAAGTCAAGACTATACGAACTCTTTTGATTCAACATTTTAAATTACCATTATAAAAATATTTATAATCAGATAAAAAGTAGCAAGATATAAAAAATGTGCTATATGCTACTAGAATTACTGGTCTAATAAATATGTAGTACATCCCAGAGTTGGTATATAATAGCCATTATTATTGTTGGCAAGAATAATGCACATTTAGGTTTTATTAGCTATGTTGAGATAGTTTTGCATAAGTAACCTTGATTATAGAATATTTATACAAGGTATCTATTTCTTCTAAGTTGACACCTGATAAATATGAAGGTGTTAGAGGACATGTGGCATTGTCAACATATGAGTATAAGTATATTCGTACAGTTGAGGTGAGCATAGTTGTGTTTTCACTGATGAGATTGGTGGTGGAACTTGAGATTGCATATGAAACTTTATTTGTTGTAAAATTCAAAGTACAACATGTCTAATGAAGGATAAATTTGTCATTCAAAACAAAAGACAATAATGTTTGATTTCGTATATATTAAGAACTCTCATTTGGTGGCAACATCTAACTCATAGAGCTTCCTACTTAAATAAAGCTATTGATAGTATAACCAAGCCCTTTCCGAAAGACAATCTGATATTGGTCTAACTAGACATATTTCTTTGCTATCCAGCGACAGCACCTGTCGACCGGCGGTAAGGACATCCTCGTCGATGCCGTGGTGGCCATGGATGACAGCGGGACCACCCACAGGAGCATCGGGAAGGCTCTGGCATTCATGTCGCTCGCGAGCAGCGGTGGCGGGGGGAGAAGAGTGATCTACGTGAAGGTAAGGACGTGCATGGAAAGGGTTAAAATCCCCAACGGGGAGACGAATGTCATGCTGGTTGGCGACGGGAAGGGCAAGTCGAACATCGTCGGCAGCCGCAACGTCGAGGACGATTGGATTACTTACCAGTCCGCTTCTGTGGGAGCCATGCACATCCTTTTCTACGTTAGACCTTCAATGATGCCCACAGTTTTGGCTGATGAGACCAAATACAGTTTGGGAATCAACGAAAAAGACTATTAACTACTTGGAAGTAGAAAATTAAACCCGTTCAAGATCGTGCAAACTTATGGTGTACGGTAGCTGCCGAGTGGAGGGGATTCATCACCAAGGATCTGACCATCATTGATCACGGCGGGCAGTCGAAGCACCAGGAGATGATTCTCCGAGTCGGCGCCGAGAAGGCCGTCATCAACAATTGCTCTAACGTCCAGGACAACAACTGCTCTAACATCATTAACAATGCCGGGTGTAAGGAAGGTACACGCGTGCAGAAGCAAATCTGGACTTATATATATGTAGGAGATATCAGAGAATAGCCAGGAGACAACACCTCTATCCGTCTACGTCGTCGTCGCTCACAAGAGTGCCCTCATGATGGCCGCTTTAACCTCAAGAGAAAGATATGAGTCAACAATGGGCCAAGGGAATAAAATGAAGAGAGAGAAGAGTAGTAGAATAACACTTCACTATGAATCCAGTGGAACTAAGAATACATAAAACAAAAGAAAGAACCTCATTTGAATAATGGATCTGGGCCCTAAAAAGTAGGGCCCGTCCACACATGATGGGGGCAGTTTCTCTAACCGACCGCATCACTCCCATTACTGCGGGCGGTTAGAGAAACGGCCCGCGTCACCCTCCCCCCGCGTGGGTCAGCGGTGGGATGGGTGACACCCGCCAACACCGGGGAGTCGAAGCACCAGGACATCCAGGACACGCTCTACGCCCACTCCAACACGCTCTACCCGCTCTACCCGCTCTTTGGGTTCCACAAGAAGTCCAGCATCCATGGCACCGTCAAGTTCATCTAAGACAACTCTGTTGTTGTCTTCTCGGTTTCAGCATCCACCTCCGGATGCCCAACCCCGGGCCAGAGGAACTCCGTCCCCAGCCAGGATCGCACGGACCCGACCAGAATACCGCGGTCTCAAACAACTAATGCCGCAGAGCTCCCAGGAGCGGCATCGCCAAAGTGAAGCGCAGCATGCCTTCGTACCTCGCCATCTGCCGACTGCAGCAGTGCTCCGGAGTGGTGGTAATGCAGTCCGTCGACGACCCCATTCCCGGCGGATTGGCAGCAGCCAAGGTTAGGTAGCTTCGCCTCGTCTACCTTGTATTTCGCTGAGTACGTCAGCGTCTCCACCTTTGAATGGGTCCTCTGGGGTGGAATCCATCTGACGATGAGTGTGGCATAGACGTCCGAACTCACCGATGCGCAGTTCGCATTCGAGAACAACTGGTTTACTGGCACAGGCGTCGACTTCACCCCCCCACCTCTGAACGTCCCAATCTCACCGCAGTGACTGCTTCTGCCCCTCCTCCATCCAATCTAGTCTACTAGCCTTCCGAGGAACTGCCCACGGTCAAGTATGATAATTGGCTGGAACCAGATCATGATGGGTAACCCGAATTTAGCCGGCTTTAATTGGTTCGAATGGCCAGTTAGGAAACGTGAGGCCGGTTGGGATGAACTCGAATATAGTCACTTGACTTAATATAGTCGAATGGTGGAAACCCATCCGATTACTATTTTCAGTTCAGCCGCTTAACTGAAAACTAAGTTGGGTTAACCTACGAGAGGAATAAGGGTGTCATCAAACTGAAAACTTGTTTAACTAGAATACGTACCAGGTTAACGTAGTTAATCCTGCCCAGTTATTAAATGGGACCTTAACCTCCTCAAACAGAAAAGTTCACGGAGGATGGCCCACGTGCATTGTATGCGTTATGTAAAGAAGGACGACCTACTAAAGTACGGTCATGGTGCCCGTTTCAACATTGATTTCTTATCAGCATGTGCATATGTTGTCCCTCTGTGGTCATCGTTTCTAAAACGTAGCCGATACGCCGGAGTCAACAATGGGAGTCGTTAAGCGTGCTTATCGAGGCAGAGGGTCCGAGATGCCAAGGCATCCAAATTGACGTTCAAACCACCGAGCCACTGACGAAGACTCTCTCTCTCTCTTTCTCTCTCTCTTTCTCTCTCTCTCTCCCTCCCTCCCTTTCGAAAGTCGCGTTGACTGCGGAGGGTCTTATAAGGGAAGTGCGATCCAACCATGCTCGGTTCATGGACTTGCTCTGGGTCTCCCAATCAGGATCTTCTCCTGTAAATCAAATCCTCATGAGATCCGGAAGAGTTGCTGAGAGGTGAGACGTCCATGTCGCTGAATGATGCCATTTTGTTAGGATTCTTGGAGAAATCAGGTACTATTTACAGCTAGTTTCCAGCTTTCCCCGATTAAACACAAATGATACATTACCTGTGCACCCTGACCGAGCACTGGCCATCCTAAAACGATGGTGACTTTTTGGTAGTGGCAGACACCCGTCGAGCCTTAACGATACGGATGACTCCGGAGGAAGTGTGGACGAGAAAGGAACCCAAGGCTATCTTCTTGCCAAGGATGCAGACAGCTCCTTTCCTCTATTCATCCTCGATCGTGAGGTGCCTCCTGGCGTCATCTCTCTGTCAACTCCGTTATTTTTGCTACGCTGTCCAACACAATTTGGGTGGCCTCTGCGCGTAGCTTCCGACTATCACCGGTTAATTTGGTGTGAACCTTCTTCTTCAACTCCTACCCAGCAGCAGGCCATGGCATCACGGCCCTCACGCGATCTAATAAGCTTTGATGCCATTGGCGCGTCGCTGCCTTCACCGTATATATTGACATGCAACTGCAAAGACAGCCTCTTGATCACCAGGTTCCACACTGTCAACTAGAGAATTTTTTCTACCCTTAGGCTTGGTTCTCCTATGTCGCCGTGCTCTCTGCTGACTGGTAAGAACGCTACCCAGACATTGGAAGCCGGCTAAATAGACATTTTCTCGATAAATCGGCTTCCTCTCTTAGCCTACGACAACTGAGAGATTCACCTTATCTGGGTAGTGCTCCTCTAGTCGGCCACTATCCTCCGGAGGGCATAGGTATCTACATGATTTCCATAGGCCGCGTGATCTGGTTTCACTTCTTCCAGGATCATTCTGCTGAAAAGATCGATTTCGGCAATTGGACGATTGTGCGAAATTCTAGCCAAGAATCAAATAATTTAAAACTAGCACGTCTCTCGATGGCATGTGGCCAAATGACAATTTGGCACTTCGCACGTCTGCCGTTTAAAGTAATAACAGACTAGTCACCAACCAAGAAGGAACTTGAGGCATAGATGGGGACGGCTTCCAGATCCCAGTACTTATATAGCCCGGCAAACAACAATGTTAGCCCGTGTGCTTGGGCAAAATCCCGGATCGCTCGGTTGAGGGATGTCCTGGTGGACTTTCTGTCCCCGCTCCTTCTCTGTGAGACCATGCTTCCTCCTCTCCCTGTTTGCTTCACTGCTGGCCTTCTCCTGGATCACGGCAGCCCACGGGAAGGCATCCTACGTAGAAGATGTCCGCAGAGTATGTGGATACGCCAGGTATCCGCAACATTGCGTTGACACCCTGCTTTCTAGACGTGAGCCATCGTTCAGACAGGATTTTGCTGGCGTTGCTTCCGTTCTTGTAGAGACGATCCGAGATGAGGTGACGCCGGGAGTTTCCATGTCCTCATCACTTGAGGCTGTGGAAATATTAGGGGCACGAGAAGCCATAGGTAGGCGATATTTGCAAGGGCTCTCAATTTATACGTACTCGTGATTACAAGTTTACCTTATATGGGCCAGCAGATATCACGTACTGATCCCTGTGGCATGACTTGCAGATTACTGTAATGAGCTTATGGAGATATCCATTAGAAGGCTCAATCAGTCCCTGAATGCGCTCGAGGTCGCACCTGTCAAGGACAAACAGAACATCCAGACATGGTTGAGCGCCGTGATCACCTTTCAGGAATCGTGCAAAGACTCCGTCAGCGAGCTACCCAGAGCGTTGTCAAAGGAAGTGTCCACCAAGATGGATCACCTGGCCGTGCTATCTAGCAATGCTCTCGCCCTCGCCAATCGAATCCCCGAGGATGGGAAAACCGGGGTGACCCCCCGCCACGTCTCCGAGAAGGATTTTCCGACATGAGTCTCAAAGAAGGACCGCAAGCTCCTTGGTAGCGCCGATATAAAGGCAACTGCGGTGGTGGCGGCGGACGGCTCCGGGGATTACACCTCGATAAGAGCCGCGCTTGCTAGTGCGTCTTCTGGCGGTGGTCAAACTGTGATCTTCATTAAGGAAGGAGTGTACAAGGAGAAGCTCACCGTGAGCAAAGACGACGTGACGTTGGTGGGAGAGGGAAAGTACAAAACGATCATCACATACGATTCCAGCGTCGTTGGCGGCGCAACCACGACAAGCTCTGCAACCGTTGGTATGTTTACCGTAATACTTGCATATATCCCATGTGAGGAAACAAATGACAAATCCTGTGGAGTATCGCTCGCTTATGGCTTTTCATAAACATTAGCTTCATTCATCTGACGATAAAAGTTGGGTTCCAAAGATGCTGACTTTTGTAGAAAATTATGTGGGTAAATCTTTTTCTCATGGAGGCTACATGTTTATCATGGGTCCTCATCATCAACAGGTGTAAGATTTGTCCTCGAATTTCACTCTTTAAGACAGTTAGTGTCCTTGAGGACGCCGTCTTTTGAACTAAACCGGTGTCCCTTGTAATTGCAGTGGTAACAGGGGACAGATTCATCGCGAAGGACATCGGATTCGAGAACTCGGCAGGCCCCACCAGAGGCCAGGCCGTCGCCCTTCGAATTCTTTCTGACCGCGCCGTCCTCTACCGGTGTAGCATCCGGGGTTACCAAGACACGCTCCTCGCCCAAGCCTTCCGGCAGTTTTACCGGGATTGCGACATTTATGGCACCGTTGACTTCATCTTCGGAAACGCAGCCGCCATCTTCCAGAGCTGCAACCTGGTTCTCTGCCGGCCGAGATCAGGTGGCCGTAACGTGATCATGGCAAGCGGCAGGACGGACCCCGGCCAGAGTACGGGCTTCGTTGCACAGAAGTGCACAATCCAAGCTAGCTCCGACCTCTCCCCCGTCCGCCACTCGGTTAGATCTTACTTGGGGCGTCCGTGGAAGGAGTACGCGAGGGCGGTAATCATCCAGTCTAGCATCGATGATTCCATTCATCCCAGAGGGTGGATGGAAAAGGCCGGAGGGTTTGCTCTCTGCACGCTCTACTTCGCCGAGGGACTCAACAATGGACCGGGCGCCAGAACCACAAGCCGGGTTGATTGGCCCGGGTTCCACCTTATTGGTTCCAGCGAGAGTTCCAAGTTCACAGTGTCAAATTTCATCCAGGGAACTTCATGGATTCCTTCAACGGGGGTGACCTATCAACCCGGCCTTTAGCGAGTCACGCTGAAATAAAACTGATGAGGACCGTAAGGTCGATGTGTCTATATGCACGAAAATTATCTTTTCGGGACATGAATAAATGAAGATCCACGTTTGCCTTCAGTAAACAAATCATCCGCGTTCTTCGTCGGCTGGGAAACAACTCCCAAAGACCTGTGATCTTTACATCACAACGCTCAAAAGGGCTGCTTTCTTTCTTTCTTCACTACATCCACTTCTTCGTCTGGAATTGTGGGTTATTATCCGCAGTCCGCAATCAGAACATATTAGTTCGTTTAGGTCCCTTCACTTCACATCGCAAGGACGGCATCACCAAATTCGTTTATCCGCGTTCGGGCCCTCCAGTCGGACGTTGCACTGAAATTTCTCGTCTGTAGATGATATTTCTCACATTCTCAGTTGATCAAGGTTCGGTTTCTACCTTTTTTTGGCTCTTGGTCAGCATCATATTTGACCGGGAAAGTCTTGGACCAACTTGCAACACTTCATGGCCTACTTGTGCTTAAAAAAATCGAGAATGGGACAAGACGACATCAATGGCAAGATTCGTATATTTTAAGACCTGGAGTGGAGACCAGGAGAGCAATAAAATGATTAAGAACATGATGTCAATATTTTCGACCTCTATGCTTCTGCGATGATCGCCAATGGAGGAAACTATTCTGTAGGGACTGTCAAGTCACGACGGAACCGCCTGATATTACAACCAACGGAACAACCGGTAGTTCAAGCTCGAGAGAGAAAGACCCCAAGTTCCCCCGATTTTCATTCATTTAGCTCAAAAGATGTTTAAAAACATTAGGTCCGCATTGACCAGGCATCTCGATCCCAAATGCTATCAGGTCGACTCGCTGAAGATAAACTTGTCGGAGCATCTTCTCCGTCCGTCAGCTTGTACCATCAAGTAGGATATCTACAGGTTTCCTAATAGAATTTTAAATTAAGAAATTCTATTAGGAAAGACAGAGAACAGTAAAAAAAACGCATATAGGTTAATCTCGTAAAAGAGAAATAACCAAATGGTGTATATTTCTTGAGCTGTGCTGTTCTCGAAGGGGGTGTTGGTTCATGCAGTTGTCAGTCTGTTGCCACAACAAGGACAGCGACAACTCTTGATACCTTCCTGTTGATCTCTTCGCAGAGGAGGGAGGGGCCCTGAGTGTTTCCTGGCAAAGGAGTGGAAGCTGACGCGGATTGTCAACGCACATTAACCCATCAAATGGAGTTCAGCAAAGGTCATGTGTTTTAGAATTTAAAACAGATGAAGTCACTATTTCTGGTGTCAACTAGGACTCGTCTATCAAGTTGAACGCAATGGATTACACGTTATTGGCCATCTTTTCCTAATGAATGACCTAACGACAAAAACTACCATTAATGCAGTTAATTTCTTCGGTAACTTTGGATCTTTTCTGAGTCAAGTGGACGATGAGATGATCAAGATGAGTGGTAACTCTGGCCAAATATATTTGGAGTCTCCTTTGAATGGGAGATTACTCGGAGGCTGGTCATCGCTGTCGATCATTATCTAGTAGGCCCTTCAGATTTCCCTCGCTGGCAGAGGTGGGAAAGCATCCGCACTTCAACCTTGTAGCCGGTAGCCGAGACAAGGCAAGAGGTGGGAAAGCATCGACACCTAGGCACAAGGCAAGAGCGCACCCTAATGCTTTAGACGCCTCACCTAGTACGGTATTGATCTAACCTACCTGAGGAGAAGAGAGAATATAACCAGGAACGAAACCTGTGGATGCCGAACGGAGATTGGAGGTCAGTCCTTGACACTTGTTTACAACAGATAGTTAGAGATTTAATCAGTACCATTCGAAAGAGTACTTGACTGTAATCATTGGAAGTGTAACGATAATTCATTTCGTAGAGATAATCATAGGAAGGGCACTTTGAGCGTAGGACCATTCATACTGAGAATAAAAAGGAGACTTATTCTGAACAAGAGAGAAGAATAATGAACCGCTTTTATTTATCAAGTTCAGAGAAGACTGAAGAATGCTCGACGTAAAGAAAGGACTCCCACCTTCATTATTTTATTGAATCAGTGACGTGATGCGACATGACGTTCTTGCGTTGCGGCGCCTAATATTGGTCCACAGCAAATGGATGGAAGTTACCTATATTGAACGCTATTTTTGTCGATACCATTGACAACGAAAGTGACAAGGCTCTCTCTTCCATGAGTTTGAGAGGTGTATGAGGGATGAATCAGGTTTTGGAAGCTAAGGACCAAACTCTGACGAAGATTACCTTTAAAAAAATATATGTTACCGTTATGGCAATGGAGAATTTAGTAAAAATTAAACGTCAAATCACATACGAGAGGATCTTTTCTGGTAATACGTGATGATACCAAAATTAAAGAATATTTTCCTCTGAAATTCGATGTTTTTCGAATATTTTGGTGGGAATTTATCCTCAAATGGAACGTTTTTGAATCACGCATGATAAAAAATTTGTGTTTCTTCATGCGCTTCTAGTTAGGAGTTAGGACTCAAGAAAGGTTATTGCATTTCGAATAATGAATCTCGTCTTTGGGGTGGACCTCCTCGTATGCAGGAGAGCTGACCAGAGGCTCAAGATCGACCACTTCTAGCGTACCCTAAGTTCTCCCATCGACGCCAATGTTAGTGCGGAACAGAATCGATGCTTCATATTATGAAAACGAAACGTATGTCCGTTCTTACTTCTAAATCGTTCGTAAATCTACCCAGAACTTCTTAAAAATTGAAAACAGTTGCATATCATTTAGAACTTATTATCACGAAAAGTATTCGTTAAATAACCTTTGTGGATACCTTGTGATATCGTCTTGCTAGCTATGATGAATAGACTCTAGTGAATGAACATCACAAAAGTTAGACAAAACGTATGACTACCCTGCAACCCTTCCAGAAGTTTATTCACGTTCCCATTTCGAACTTGCAAGCATCCTTAAAGGCGATGAGAGGGTTTCCTAATCTGCTGAAGAAGACGTTTACTAGTGGTTCATGACAGGCTGTCGACAAGGTCTGACTGTCTTCAACTTTTCTTTTCGGCTACTTGTGGAAAGTGGTACCTGATGCGAGCAAAAGGACTTTAGGGTCGTGCGTCAGATCAATTGAAACCTTTGCTAATATACACACGCATACGTCTAGATTGTGTGGTGGTGTCTGGGCTCACGGGAAGCAGAGGTGACTTTCACAAGCCCAGCATCTTCTCTAGACTACGTGTCGACATAAGGGATGGGACGAGAAGCTTACTATCCTAGTTGACTGGCTATTATAATACGATGGGTTTACGCTTGTATGTCTGTCGTGGAGGCGAGCAAAGAAACAGGTCCCCTTTACGCGAAATGGCGCTGTGAAAGTAGCCAGTGTCGCAGAATTAATTTCATGTAGGGATTCTTATGGCTATAAATGATGTAGCCTTGGCATTGCGACTCACGCAAGAGTACAGAGTGCTCACTCTCACGTAGTCACTGATCTCCCCCACCCCATCGCGTTTATGTGAAGGAAAAAAAATGAGGCCTTCAGCGGGCAAGAACAACGATCAGAGGATGGACTTCAGGCGAGGATATCAGATGAAGAAGAAGGTCGTCATATGGGGGTTCACGGCATGCCTTGTAGTGCTCCTAACCAGCTTAATCTCCCTCGAAGGCATGAAGCTGCAAGGAAATAAGCGATCGACTTCGCTCGCCCCGGGCATCCAAAACATAGTCTCGAGGATGCTCACTGCCAAACCCACCCTCGCCACTGCCAGCGTGATATCAACTGCCTGCAACAACACGCTTTACCTGACCGAATGCGAGTCGGCGTTGGCGACAGTCTCCGGCGCGGTGATGAAGACATCAAGGCACCTCTTTGACGTATCTATCGAGTTCGCCATGTCTCGGGCTCACGCCATCAGGTCTCTTGCGTACAACCTAACCTTCCCCTATGATCACCGATCTCACCCGTACCCCCCAACGGGGAACTACGATTGCGTCGAGCTGCTGGACGCCACAGTGGCGCAACTAAGTGACGTTATGGACAGCCGGAAGCAACCTAGCCAGGAAGATGTCGAGACTTGGCTTAGCGCGGCGTTGACCAACCAGGTGACCTGTTTGGAGAGCCTCAAAAGCAAGCCTCCAGCCTCCGGAGACGCATCCTTCGACTCCCAAGCCGAGATCCTGATTCATCTTGTCAGCAAATCACTGGCCCTTGTCAAGTCTATTCAGCTCCCGAGGAGGGCTGGCCGGACGAATTTCGTGGGCGGGGGCGGGCGGAAGCTGCTATCCCGCGACAGCTTCCCGTCATGGGTGTCGGCTGCGGATAGGAAGCTGCTGTCGACCGGCGGGAAGGACATCCTCGTTGACGCCGTGGTGGCCATGGACGACAGCGGGACCCACAGGAGCATTGGGGAGGCTCTGGCATTCGTATCTCTCGCGAGCAGCCGTGGCGGGGGGCGAAGAGTGATCTACGTGAAGGCAGGGACATACATGGAAAATGTTAAGATCCCCAAGGGACAGACGAATGTCATGCTGGTTGGCGACGGGAAGGGCAAGTCGATCATCGTCGGCAGCCGCAACGCGGAGGACGGCTGGAGTACTTACCAGTCTGCCACCGTGGGTAGGTGACAAACAAAAGCCATGAACATCCTCGTCTACGTTGCGCCTTCAGTGATCGCCCCGTGTTTTTGCAAAGGAGAGTAACAATAGCTTAGAATCTAGAAGAACTAGTGCACAACAGTATTGCAAGACATTTACACAAAACTTACTGAAAGCCGCTTCTTAATCGGGTAAACCTACGTGTATGATAGCTGCCCTGGGGAGCGGATTCATCGCCAAGGACCTGACCATCGTCAACAACGCCGGCCCATCGAACCACCAAGCGGTAGCCCTCCTAGTCGGCGCCGACAAGGCCGTCGTCTACCACTGCTCCATCGAAGGTCACCAGGACACGCTCTACACCCATTCGAACCGGCAGTTCTACCGGGAAACCGACATCTATGGCACTGTCGACTTCATCTTCGGCAACTCCGCCGTCGTCCTCCAGGCCTGCAACATCTACCTCCGGAAGCCCAACCATGGCCAGAAGAACTCCGTCACCGCCCAGGGCCGCACAGACCCCAACCAGAACACCGGCATCTCCATCCACAGATGCCGTATTGCACCCTCAAGCGACCTTGCCGCCGTAAAGCGCAGCGTACCGTCGTACCTCGGGCGCCCGTGGCAGAAGTACTCCAGAGTGGTGGTCATGCAGTCGTACCTCGACGACGCCATCCACCCCGCGGGCTGGGAGCCGTGGTCCGGCAGCTTCGCCTTGTCCACTTTGTACTACGGCGAGTACGGCAACACAGGGCCCGGCGCCGCCGCCTCCGGGCGGATCAGCTGGGCCGGAGTCCATCCGTCGATGAGCGTGTCGGAGGCATCCAAGTTCACCGTCGCCCAGTTCATCTCGGGCACGGCCTGGCTGCCCGCCGCCGGCGTCGAGTTCACTGCCGGCCTCTGATTGCCGTGATATCACTACAGTAGGTGCTCCTGCGCGTCTCCCCCATCCAATCCAGAATAAAACGGTGTGCTAAGACCCCGTCATATAGGCGTTAATGGATCCGGGGAGGGGAGGACGGCCCACGGGCGCTGTATGGCGGGGTGTTATTTATTGTTGGTCAAGGACGGCTTTCTCAAGTGCGGCTACCCTGTTGCCACTGCGCTTGGGCTCCCGGAAAAATGGGAAATCAATTTACAGCCAGCCAGCCAGCCAGCCAGCCAGCCAGTTTGTTTACAGTTGGCTTCCCCGATCAATGCATGCGGAGGATGGATGATGAATCTTACCAGTACTCCCCGCAGGAGCACTGCCCGTCCTTGAAACGATGGAGGCTTCTGGGATCCTTGATCAGGATCTCGCGTTGAAACGCCCTGGAGATGAACTTGGCGGCGGCGTGGCCGCCGGCAGACACCCGTAGGTTCTTGACTATCCGGATGACTCCGGAGGAAGAGTGGACGAGCGAGAAAGCCAAGGCTATCTTCTCGCAGCGGATTCCCGTGGCTTCTTCCCTCTCCTCGTCCTCGATCGCGAGCTGCCTGCTGGGGACGTCCCACTCCGTCAACTCCATTCTTTTCACTATGCCGTCGAGCATCTTTCTGATGGGCTCCGAGCCGAGCATCGCGACATCACCGGCCGGGATGGTGTGAACCTTGTACTTCAATCCGACCCAGCAGCAGCCCAGGGCCTCGTCGCCGCCGCTCGATCTCTTGAGCTTGGACGCCGTCGGCGGATCGCCGCCGTTTCCGCTGAGCATCGCTTGCAGCTGCAAAGACAGCCACTTGATCACCGGGTTCCTCGGTTTCAGCCTCCTCAGGTTTTCTGCTGCTAGCTTAGCCGAGGCCGCGTCACCGTGCGCCCTCCCGGCTGTCAGTAGCGCCGCCCAGACCTTAGAATCGGGCTCGAGGGGCATCTTCTCGATGAAACCAGTTGCCTCGGTCAGCCTGGCGGAGCGACCGAAGAGATGAACCATGGCGGCGTAGTGCTCTGAGGTCGGCCGTACGTGGAGCTCCCCGGTCATGCTGGCGAAGAGCCTCCTCCCTTCGGCCACCATTCCCCCGAGACCGTAGGCGTGTATGAGGCCGGCGAAGGTCGAGTGGTCTGGTTTCACCTCTCCTTCCGAGCTCATTCGCCGGAAAACGTCGACGGCGGCGGTGGGCCGACAGTGCAGAACGTAGCCGTCAATCAAGGAATTCCAGGACAGCACGTCTCTGGACGGCATGGCAGCGAACACCGACTCGGCGCTGTTCACATCGCCCGACTTCATGTAGGCGTCCACCATGGAGTTGGAGACGGAGACCTCGGAGATCAGGTGGCGGCGGAGCGCGCAGGCATGGATCTCCTTCACCTTGAGGTGGGAAAGGATGTTGGCGCAGGCCGGGAGGACGCTGAGGATACTGATGTGGTTGGGCCTCTGCCCGAGGGACTGCATCTGGCGGAAGATCCCCATAGCCGCGTTGCGCTGGGAGTTCTGCAGCGAGCCCGAGATGAGCAGATTCCAGGAAGACGTGCTCCGCTCGACGCCGTCGGCCTCCATGCTCCGGAAAAGCTCCATGGCCTGGTCCACGTCCCCGCTCTGCAGGTACCCAGAGATCATCACGTTCCAGGTGACGACATTCCGTTGAACGCCCAATCCCTCCATCCTGGAGAAGAGATCGTAGGCCTTGCCGCAGTAGCCGGCCTGAGCGTATCCTCCGATCAGAGAGTTCCACGTGAAGACGTCCCTCTCCGCGGTCCCGTCGAAGGCCCTGCGGGCCTCATCCAGTCTCCCGCATTTGGCATACATGTCTGTGAGAGAGTTGCCCACCAGCGGGCGGCCGGCGCACCCCGCCTTGGCCGCGCCGGCGTGGAGCTGAGCGCCCGCTCGGCAGTCTTTGAGGGAGGCGCAGGCGGAGATGGTGCTCGCGAAGGTGACGTGGTTGGCGGAGACGCCTGCCTGCTGCATCTGCCGGAAGAGATCGAGGGCCTGCTCCGGGCGGTTGTTCTGAGCAAACCCGGAGATCATGCTGGTCCAGGTGACCACGTCCGGGACCAGCCCGGAATGGTCCATCTTCTTCATCAGCCCCATGGCGACGTCGGCCTTGCCAATCTGGTTGTAGCTCGTGATGAGGATGTTCCAGGTGACCAGCCCCGGCTCGATACCTTCCACCTGCAGCATCCTCTCGAAGAGCCGGAGGGCCTCCTCGAGCTCGCCGCACTGGCAGTGCCCCGATATGAGCGAATTCCAGGAGACCCGATCCCTGGTGCCCATCTTGTCGAAGAATCTCTTCGCGGAGCCCAACTCGCCGCACTTGGCGTACATGGCGAGGATGGAGTTGCTGACGTGGGCCTCCACAGCGAGCTCCGACAGTCCCGTCCGCACGGCGAGGGAGTGTAGCAGCCTACCGGTCTCGGCGTCACCCAGGTTCGCGCAGGCCTGCAGGAACTTGGGGAACAGGAAGGCATCCGGGGTCACCCCCTCCTCGATCATCTGGAAGAAGATACCGAGGACCTCCTCCCAGCGGTGCTCACGGGCGAAGCCGTTGATCAGCGCCGACCACGAAAAGAGATTCCGCTCGTGCATTGCGGCGAACACCTTGCGGGCCTCTTCCAGGTCGCCGCACTTAGCGTACATGCTCACGAGCTTCGTCTCCACGAAGGCGGTGGGGTTGCGCACCAGCCCGATCTTCTCGTGGAGCTGCCGGCCCTCGGCTATGGACTTGGAGTCGATGCAGGACTGGAGGAGAGAGATGTATGTCTTGGTCGCGACGGACGCGCCCTCATCATCGAGCATGGCGATGGCCTCCTGCAGCCTCCCATCCCTGCAGAGCCTCTTCAGCTTCTGGTCCGTGGAGTTGTGCGTCCTCTCATTCGCCGCCGCCGCCGCCGCCTGGGCTGCTCGCCTTGCAGAGCAAGTCGCCGGCTTGAGACAACTGAACGAGAAGGAGCTCGCCGGGGGGAGAGGGCAGAACGGGGGAGGGATCGTGCGCCTGAGTCCCCCGCCGTGGGCGGCCGCCATATCCATAGCCATAGGCATAGCCGGACGGACGGGGGAGGGAGGGCCGGAGCCCCAGCTCGCTCTCCCCTCGCCGCCCTGCGGCAGTTTCCTGTTGCCCCTTTTGGGCGGAAGGCCTACATAGCCTCACCTGCCTTGTGTGGACAGAATAGGGCCGCCACCCATCCGACCGCAGGGTAAGGGAATGTGGGAAAAAAGGGGAGACTCATTAGTCAGCGAAGTCAAACGAAGAGGCTTATTTCTATTACGCCGCGGGGAGCCGAAAGGTAGCCCCGTCCCTCCCTTCTTCTTCTTCTTCTTCTTCTCGCCGGCGGGCGACGAAAAGAAAGTGGAAGACTTCGTCAACGAAAAGGCCCCCGGGGGGGGGGGGGGGGGAAGACGATGATAGTCGCTGCTCTGTTTTTCAACCTCAATGACTGTACTGTACTGTACTGTACTGTACAGGGCCGGTCATCAGACGCGGGCCTCGAGCCTCGGCTCGAAGGAGAAGGCCGAGCGCAGCTCCCCCGCGTTAGTCCCTCTCAGGGAGCACTCAGGCAGCTCGGACCACCGCCCGGAGGGCAGGTTGCAGACGATATGGCGACTGAACTCGGCCGAGCTCACGCACACGAGGATGGCGTCCCCGAGGCCCACGCAGTTCACGTCGGCCTGCTTCCCGTGGAGCTCGTGCGACATCGCCGGCGGCATCGCGGCCACCTGATGCCACAGCTGGTCGTCCTTGCAGAACCTCCAGACGCGGAGGCTGGCGCTCTCCAGGAACTCCGACAGGGCCACCACCATCAGCTCCCCCATGTACTCCACCACGTCGAAGGAGTGCTCCAGGTGGACCGGCAGCAGCCTCGGGTACTCGGAGAAGGATCTCTGCGTGAGATTGCACCCCACCACAGCCCCGCCGGAGCTGAGGAAGAACATGTGGAGCTCCCCGCCCTGCGTGGTGATCACCGACGAGTACTGCTTGGAAGGGCTTCTTTGGGTGTTGGTGGCGACGACCTCTCCCGCCTTGCTGAGGAAGTACACCGTCTCGTCGCCGGCCACGTCCCGCTCGGCCGTGCTGTGGGGCTCACCGCCGGAGAGCTGAGCTTCTTCCCATCGTTCTTCGGCCGAGTCGTAGATCTTCAGACGGATGTTTGGGAAGTCGCCCGAGATTACGAAGAGCTTGTAGGGCGAGGAGGTCATGGCAATGGCGTAAATCCTCTCCTTCTCCTTCTCTTCGCCGAGTCCCATCGGGGGGAGCTCGCGGCACGCTCCGGTGACAGGATTGCAGACGATGAAGCTGCCGGCGGTGGTGAGGAAGCAGACGAGCCCGCCGGACGATGCGACGGGGATGGAGTTGGAGTTACGGGTCTCCCGGAGGAGGGCCGGGTGGCCGATGTTCTTCCAGTTTCCCTCACTGGTGTCGAAGACGACCGACTGGTCGACATCTGGGTCGACCATGAGGAACCAGGGTTCTCTGGAGGCGATCCCGGAGCAGGAATTGAGGAACGTCGCAGAGGATTCGGCGGACCTCCACCGCTTGCACACCGACCGGAGGCGGAAGAAGCTCGAGGCAGGAAGCCAAGAGAGGATCTTCTCGAGCAGGTCCTGATGTAAATCCTCCAGGTTCATCTCGCCCACCTCAGGACCCGGAAGAGACCACCGTCTCTTCCGGCTTCCCGCGGCCGCCATCGGAAGGAAAGCTTCTGGGGAGAACCACTAGAACAGATCAGAGATCGCTCGTCAGTCGCAGAGTTCTTCAAGCATCAACGCATCCACCGATGGAATTATCCTAAAGTTATGATTATTCCCAGTCGGGGAGTAGCCAAAGGCGATCACCCGCATAACCAGAGCACGGCCTCCGCTCAGAGCCGCATAGACACCCCCAAAACCCCCAGCAGAGATGAGGGGCAGAAGTGTGTTCCCACGAAGTTTCCGGCCGCCTAGCCCTTCACCAGGAAACAAGAGTCGCCCCCATTTTCCCCTTCCTGCTTTCTTGGCCCTCTTCTCTGCGGAGAGGATGAACGGCGCATCTCCTAGGCCGGTCCAGAGGCACCTCTATCCATCACATTGACGAAGCAGAACGGGGAAATATAGGTGAGGAGGACGGAGGCGGAGACGGAGACGGACCTGCAACGCGGGCGGGGACCTCGTCACAAGGTTGAGATCAGAAAACAGGGGGGAAGCGCTGCGGGCGTAAAGGCGGGCGAGGGAATGGAATGGGAGCTTTTCCTCTTCCTACCCTTTATGTAGTGAGGAAGAAAGCGCCGGGAGCGTCGCGCAGTGGGGCGAGGGAGGGAGACGAAGAGGGAGAGGAAACTTCCTGGCCTGTGCCGACCTGCGCTGGAGACCTTCTCCAGCTGCCTGCGCCTGCCCGCGCCTAGTGGGCGTGGACACGGATAGAGAAAGCAGAAGAAGCGGAGGGTGAAAAGCTGATTATTTTACTCTTCCCGGAGAACTCGAGGCTAAACAGCGAGAGACTGCGCTGCCTCGCACTGCAAAAGATGGGGGGTGAGGGGGGGGCAGCCTGCAGGAACTGTAGCCTTCCCTCCGTACCCAGAGTCCTTCCCGAAAACACCGTGAGATGAGGTCGGCGTCTATTTTCGAGAGTAAGGCTTCTCTGTGTGTGTGTGCGAGAGAGAGTGAGAAGGTAAAAAGTGGGGGAGAAAATTAGTATCTCGGGGAGGAGAAAGCAGGGGTGGGGGTCGGAGCTGGTTTGTCTGCGTGTGGGCGGCTGACCTTTGTAAAGTAAAAGAACCCCCCCCCGGATGGGTTCCTTCTTTTTCTCTCTCCCCCCCTGCGGGAGCACTCGCGCATCCGAAACGACCTACTTCTGAGGTCAACGCCTGGGCAGAGGTCGTTGCGAAGAGTGAAGGGTAAGGACTTCATGGCGAGAGAGCGAGAGAGAGAGAGAGCGGTCTGTGGGCAAGCAACATCAGAGTTCCCAATGCCCGGCTAGTAAAGCTGTAAGTGACGACCGCTGCTCTCTCTCTCTCTCTCTCTCTCTCTCTCTGAGCTTGCGAAGTGTAGGATCAGAGAAGAATTCTCGTGCAGAAGGCTGGGCCCGGTCCTTCTGGCTAGACGGGCTCCACCAGACGTAGCGAAGAAGCGGAGAAAGCTCTCCCCCGTGGAGAGGGAAGGGAAGGGAAGGGAACCGGGGGGCTGGGGTGGTGCCCCAGAGAGACGGGGCGCCGCACGTTTGCCAGCCACACGCCGGCGGAAGAAGCGGCGAAGCTAATATCCTTCTCGTGCGAATGTCGTTAGGGTTTCTGGAGGGCGGGGAGCCTCCCCGCAGAAGTCCCCTCGTACATCGCCCTGGGCGCACCGCCCACGCCTTTACGGCCCTGCGCGTGCGAACAGCGAGAATACAGAGAGAGAGACAGAGAGGAAGAGGGTGGGGGCCTTTGGAAAAGCTAAAGGGGAGAGCCAATCGGGGCGTGGAGGCGTTCCTTGGACGGCTGCCTCTTTTGCGAGGAGTGCAGTCGCTCGTGCGGGCTCCGTGCTGAGAACCCGAGTGGACGCGAGCGTGGGTGATGTGGAGGCTCCCTCCGCCTTTTCTTTCCCTCCTGCAACTATATCTGCATCGCTCCTTCCGGCGCAGCCGCCGCTGCGTACTTTGGCGCATTAAACTAAAGACAGACGTGCGTTTGTGTCCAGCTTCGCGTTCGATCGCCGGAGATGAGATCCAAATCCTCCGCTGAGGGGCCTCCGTCCAAGCAGTGGAGCCACCGCGCGCGGACTTGGCTTTGTTAATTCTTTTATTTATCCGGGAATCTGCCCCGTCGGGAGTAGATTATTCGCAGACGAGGAGTAGGAGGTAAGACGTTCCAGAAGACGAGGCCCGCCGGAATCCCTCCGCTCGGTCGTTAAACGTTGCTTTCACCGGGGCTTTTCTATGGCCGCAGCCAGGAGCAATCCAACGTGCCGCCTGCGTCGGACTACACGACGATCGCCGAGCCCACCGGCGCGGAGGGCCTTACTCCGACGGGGCGAGAGAGAGAGAGAGAGAGAAACGTAGAGGTGTAGGAAGAAAGGTAGGAGGGTAGCTCATTCCGGCGGGGTATCGATGCGCCGCGGCCGGATTGCGTAACTGCTGATGCAGCAGAGGCCGAAGAGTCTCCGGACCCTCATCCTCTGCGCATCTCCACCCAGTTCGTTCTATTATTAATGTGCTGCGTCTGACATGATCTATACCTTCCCCCACTCCGCCATTTTATTCCCACCCTCGTCTCCATTAGAGCAGCGCCTGGTCTCTCTCTCTCTCTCTCTCTCTCTCTCTCTCTCTCTCTCGCCCTCGCTCTCGCCCTCCCTCCCTCTGTATCCCTCTCTGTGCTCTGTGCTGCTCCTTGGGTGATTGGAATGGCAATCAACGTGTGCCTCGGTCACGCCGTCTTCCCCAGGAGCCAAGCCGAGAAGGCCACCACTGGCGTTCCGCTTATAGGCAACGGCCAGATGAATCCCAGGAGACAGGCGAGCAATCTCCTCAGCTCCCGGGCCGCCACCAAGGTGAAGGTCGTCACCGGCTTGCCTTTCCTATTTTGTTTGCTCTTGGGAAGCAGCAGCAGCGCAGTGGAGGGGCCTGTGAAATAAACGCCTTGTTCTATGGACTTTCCCGTCGCAGGTGTTCGAGGATCGTGCCGCGGGCATCGTCTGCTACAAAGACGAGAATGGCGAAGTGATCTGCGAGGGCTACGACGAGGGCCCCCGATACAGCCGCCACTCCTCCCCGGAGCGCGACCGCCGCCAAAGGTAAACCACCAACCCTCCGCCGGTGATCCCTGCACATCTCCCTCTTTCTGCTAGATCTCTATCAAATCATCCTCCTTCCCGATCACATCTCGCTGTGAGCGCAGAGACGTCCGGGATCCTCCCGGCTTCCCCGAGCCGAGGTGGACGGCGTCGAACGGCGGCCCCCGGGTCCTGCGTATCAATGGATTCGCCGCCGCTCAGGAGGCGGACAAGCACTGAAGTCGGCCCCAGCCCAGCTAGCTGCCGATTCCAGAGATAGAGAGAGAGAGGATCTGGATGGAAGAGGAGTGGGGACGCTGTAACCAGAGTGCTGCCTCTCTTTCTCTCTTCTCTCAATCTCTGAGAAGGATGAAGGCGCGCACCTTCCGCTGTCTTCCCCTTTCTTCTCCCCTTAATCAGAGCACGATTACGGCCCACAGAGTCTGGTCGCTCGCCCGTTCGGCGATGCCCGAGGAGCTTCGGCTCCGCCCGATCAGACAAGTCCTCCTGCGGACGGGAGAACCGAGCCGAGCAGAGCAGAGCCATCTTGTTCGAGATGGTGGAAGGAGCCCAAGACAAAAAAAAGGGCCTTCTTTGCGCCGGGTCAGGCTTTTCTGCGTGGCGCGAGAGGAAAACAGCGTCGTCACACGAGCCGGTGAATGAATGAATGAATGAATGAAGACGGTGGAGGGGGAGCGGGAGGGAGGAAGAACGGCGATTGGCTATGGGATTCTACAAGGGGGGAGGGATGGGGACTAGCGCTACTGCTCTGCTCTCAGGTGGTGGTCATCGTCGGAGGAGGGGGAGAGGATGCGGAGGGGGGCTCGGGGACCCTGACGAAGTAGGTGGCCATGGCCTTGCGGAAGCGCTTCTTGTACTGGACGGGGGAGACGACGGTGGGGGAGGCATTCTTGGGGCCCCCCAGTATCCCAGAGGCCTTCACCCACGTCTCCAGGTTCTTGTCCCACGTGTACTGCTGCATGAAGTCGATGATCCCCAGCACCAGCTCCCCCCGCCCCCCGTCCACCACCACCAGAAGCGAGTAGTCCATCACTTCGATCGACTGCACCAACATCAGGGATGAGTTGTTAACCAGAAGAAAGAACCACCCACCAGCGCCATAAAGAGAGGAGAGAGCAGAGAGCAGAGAGAGTGCTTACGACGAGGAAGGAGGTGTCGTTCCAGACGGCTCTCTCGGGCAGCCGCTTGGCCCTGTTCTCGACGAAGATGGGGGAAGTGGGCATCGACTCGATCAGATTCTGGCCCAGGAGGACATTGTACTCGCCGCTGCTGTCCGCGTTGTGCCGCGACCGCGACGACCCCTTGGGGTCATACAGCCTCTCTATGCTCCGCCCGAACATGAGGTTCTCCATCATCAGCACCTCCATCTTCCACTCCTTACTCGCCTTCAGGTTCTTCCAGCCCACCTGAACCACACACGGCGACGACCATCGGAATCGGAAGAAGAAGGAAAGTGGGTCAACAGACAGGCTCTAGCGTGGTCCAAACCGACAGAGCGGGCATAATCATCGTACTGGGAAGAAAGAGAAGGAAGAAAGGGAGGGTTTTCCCGAATCACGGATTTGACTCGGATTCAGATCAGCTTCCAATGAAAAAAGAAAAATAAAAGTGTCCGAGGAAAACTTCCTTTGCTGTACCAAATCCTTGAGCCCACAAACAAATCAGGACCCAGTGACCTGAGAAATCCCCAGTCAGAGAGCAGAGGCTGGATATATTTTCAGTAATTAAAAAAATCAGGTTCTCTCAAGTCCATATTTCAGGAGAATTCTCTGAAGAAAGTATTATGGCGACCAGTTAGCCGGAAGACGAGATTCTCTGGCCCTCAAAAAAATACCGACATTTCAGAAACGGGACATCTTACGAGTAGACAGAATGAACAGAGATGATGAAGGATTACCACCTACCTGGTGGACTCCCAAGATTTTGGCCAGACTGGTGGGTGGGGCACCCGGTGCTAATCGACCCAGAAAGGTACTTGACATACTCCGGAGCGAATTGACGAAAGACTCTAATTCTGTCTTTGCGACCTGTTTAATGATGAATCTATCGTTCCAACGATTTGGCGAAGAAGACGCTGCCCTTGCCACCCTGGGCGCCACACTTCTTACAGCGACAAATTGACCTGATGAAATCCAGCTCTGACAGACAGCAAATTCGCCTCAATTCGTCAAACCATCTCGCGTAGTAGTAAGTAACCGTATCTTTCACTTTTCCAAGAGGGTATCTCAAAAGGAAATTCTGACGTGCGGAGCTCTTGAATCCAGAAGTGGGCCCGAACGCTTTCCCCCTCCCTGACATGGACAGAATGCCTTCCTCGACCGAGTTCACCTTCCTCAAGGACTCGGATGAAACGCCATGAAAGGAGTTGACGCTTCCAGGATCATGAAACGGCGGCAAAATGGACGACTCCCCATTATTCCTAGTCTTCTCCCCCTCAGCGCACATCTGGAAGTGATAATCAGTCGAAAAAAGGCCATATGAAATAATACTTGTTGGTTCATCATCATAGACGGGGATTACCAGGTCGTTGACACCGATGGGCAGTAGCAACCTAGCTCCATCTCTGTGTCCCAGCTCCCAGAATGATGAAATTTACGCGGGGTTATATCCATCCGAGGGGTCAAATCTTGAACCAATGCCACCGGAGCCTTTGCTGAAGGATTGATGAAGGCTCTGGAATGGTATTTTAATCCAGTGTGGACCATCTCAACAACGTCTCCTCCGCCAGTAGTTGCTGGCAGCGGTGGTCGTGGTAGTGGCGTGGATCCATCCGAATTGTCCTCTGAGCTTGATTCGGCAACTGCGCCAAGTGCAGTTTCACAGACGTTTGAGAAATCTGATGCGATGATTTCAAAAGTCGCAGGACCCTTTTCACCACATATTGCGTTCAACCTGTCAGACACGTTTGCCAAAACTGGAAACTGTCCATCTGACAGAACCCTTCTCAAGCCGCGATGAGAAACAAGAGGGCCCTTCTCAAGCCATCTGACAATCCCACGAGAAACAAGAGGGCCCGATGGATCACAAGTTCTCATGCCATCTATATGATTAGCCCCGCCAGTTCCTTGATTGCGGTCAAAATTTCTGTTCACGACGTGATGTCCTTCAGGAATTGTGGCCTGGAGGAAGGAGTCCAGGCTTCGGAAACTTCTTTCTGGTTTAGGGGCCACATTCGGGTACACAGCCTTCTCAGTAGAACCAAGTTTCTCTTCATTTCTCCGACCCTTTCTTTTCCCATCAAACTCATCGTAGTAACTGTTCAGCAAATTAACTGCATGCATCAAACGCTTATCCCACACATAACACTGATAGAGCAACTGCCTTCTTAACTTGTTAACCTCAAGAATATCAATCAATGGCTTCCCTTTTCTCTCCTCATTGTCATTTTCTGGAAGGATTCCTGAAGTTTTAAAAAAATTGTCACAAAGTTTTTTAGCTGTCAAAGAAGAGAAGATAACACATTCAACACATGCTTTACCTCAAACTCTGCCTTCTCCTTCTTCAGGTAACCTTCAAAGTCCGCAATCAATTGTCTTAAATCCAGGGGTTCGACATTGTCGAAGACTGAGGCTGGCGTCGTTTTTTCTCCTCGTGTTCTCCACAGAATCTTGAGAACTTCCGAGAAAAGCTGTGCGTGAGGCTTGGGCAGCCAGCTATTATATTAAAATTATGAAGGTCAGCTCTTCAAACCGATGATAAATTTAACCAAAGAAAAAAAACTCTAATAAACGGACCTCATTTGCTTCCTTTTGGAGCCACTCCAGGGGTTCACAGTTGAAATCAAGTTTGGGGGGAGGTAGGTGCACAGAATGAACATCAGTAGTCGCATACTGGAAACAAGACACCATCTTTCCAAACCTGCTCATTTATTTACTTTTCCATGAACGCGCAAGGGGAGGCATATAGAGATGCAAATTCATCCGGAGGGAAGGGAATAGGAGGAGTGCCCGCAACTTGCCACCCTGTTAGCCGCAGCATGATTCGAAAAGCTAAGCTCCAAAAATTTACCAAAGGATAAACCCCAGGCAGCATCTGACATGACCACTCTATGCGTTGCAGGGGGAGTTCGGTTGACCGGGGACAACGCAAACACCCGCGCCGCATCCATATCTTGCCATCCTTCTCTCCTGACAAGGGGAAATCTGGAAGTTTGTTGACATAGATTGTTAAACTGCCCTGATGATGAGTGTAACAACGAACGTGATCTTCTGATAACTCCAAAACCTTGAATAGAAATGGACCGCTCCAAATTTGATGGTATATCTGAGAACGGAAATTCTTATTGGAGACTCCAATGAAACGCTATGCATTTCACTTTTAGATATCGACCGGGATCCATGGCATCTCCCTTGTTTGTATCTGGTTTGAGGAAAGTTGCCGCTTCCAATGACAAACGTATGATCACCTCCAACCAGCTCTCTATGCCATTTTTGTTGTCTACAGGAATATTACCAACATGAAGTTGAGATATCAAAACCCTGAGATGCCCATCAACACCGTGTTCCATGGCTTTTGTATGCTCTTTGTGTGCACCATCACGACACTGAGACTCTTCACTAACGAAACTTTTTGATGATCACAGCTGTCCCCACTGTTCGGACGCATCATCTTCATCAGAAAAGCCCGCTTCACTATCATTCTCACTATAATCAGGCTCTGGAGGAAGCCAAAGAAGTACATTATTTTTGAAATCTACAGGCTCAGGATCCGTCGTCTCCATACAATTAATAGTCGATCTAGTATCACTCTGAGAGATGTAATCAGATCTTGCTTCATCTGACATTTTCTCAACACTTTCTGATTCATGTAAAATCTGTTCCTGCAATCTGAGGAAGAGACGAACCTCTCTGATTTTCGTTTTCTTCGGTACCGTGCACCATTGCTGACCTATATCTATGGCCATGTCCATCAAACTCAATAGTATCATAGCAGCCCTCAGACTGACCAAACTGCTGTATCTGTGAATCGGAACTATATACTTGATAGTCATCCTTGTCGACACTTCTGAAATTAGAGACACCTAGAATTTGTTAGACTGAGAAAAAAATAGAAAAATAGCAATGCATTATTACATTTAAAATAAATCTCCTTACAGAGATGCTTCATGGAAATTCTTTGAATGATACTTCTTAAAAAAGAATAGGGATCATCCATGCACTTCAAAACTCCCCACGGATTACTGATGACATCCATACTTATGCAACGACGGTGTTAATTGTGAAGCAAAAGTGTAGTGTAGTGCAGGCATGCATGAGAAGTTTCCTGACCTCCAAAAAGGCCCGGTTTTTAACTTTGGATGGTTATATTGAAGCGGACTCCTTAGAAAATTGATTCATAGGTCTACAATTCCCTGCGTACTTATGCAACGACGGTGTTAATTGTGAAGCAAAAGTGTAGTGTAGTGCAGGCATGCATGAGAAGTTTCCTGACCTCTAAAAAGGACCGGTTTTTAACTTTGGATGGTTATATTGAAGCGGACTCCTTAGAAAATTGATTCATCTTTTCAAAAACCGCAAGATGTAGGGGCCAGTTGAAGATGCTACAATTCTCAACTGACTGTGCCTCTCAGAAAATGAGAAGATTTCTGGGGAGACGACAGGAGATATTTACCGGGTACCGATGTGTAGTTGGATGAGGCCTATAGATTCAGGGACATGAACTCGTGAATTAAACTTGAAATGCTTCTCAATTTTATCGAAGTGGCCAATTTTTTCCATTCCAGAACAAAGGAGGACGAACGTCAGATGTCCAATACGAGTGTTGAGATAACTGCACGACTGACTGGAATTCGCCAACATCATGTCACCCTTACCCACTCCTCCCCTGTTATCGAGAAAATAAATATACTAGACTATCGGTTCTACATTTGTGGGAAATTTCAACCCGTAGTTCGTGTTACTGTGTCTGCCATCTTCCGTCAACACAACTGGTTAAGCAGAACTAACATTGATCTGTGGATAAGAAAGTGCTACAGAGAGAGTTATGTAAAATCAAAAGGGAAAATAAACCTACTATACCCCCAACGTTATCAGTTCAGAGATAACCAACAGGTTTATCTGGATTCTTTCTAACTAAAATAAGAAGGTTTTGGGTACATCTACAAAGGCCGTGCTAGTTGTTTCCTTTACATTAAGGCGTTTCGATGTTCAAACATGCGATAGTGATCACAAGATAAAGATGCATACCTATATGCTCGGAAGGACAGCTTAAGTTCATAAAGGCATCTGTTGTTCTGTCCTGTTTCGGGCTTCCTTGCTTACCTGAGCACGGTTCCACTGGAAGACGTCGACAAGGATTGACTCCAGAACTACATGAAAATGACATAGAACTGGCAGTGTTGCTGTCGCTGTTAGCGGTTCCGCTGGACTGCGTACTAACCATACTCATCCCTGAACACGAGGCCCCGAGATACAGGGTGGACACCCGACATACATATTCCTCAGCCGTTGTATCTTGTTCCCATAGCTTGAAACAATAATTGCAGGCCCTGATCCTCTCACCATCATCCCGTCTTTTCCTAAGGACTTTATATGGAAAAGGTATAGAATTCGCAGTCCACCTTGCGCAGAAAACACTCTCGCACAGGCGGCAATGGTGACGCCTGTTGACGACCGAGAGTTTCGAATCACATTCATAATAGACCCTACAGCTGCGGTCAGGCATCCAAAAGTCCTTTGACACATTTGCAGGCTAAGTCCTCCACGGAAACCAGGATTTCACCAATTTCACCAACTTAGAGAACGCATTATCGGTGGCTTCCATCGAGGACAAATCCTCCCCACGTGATCATCCCAAACGGATCAACGAAAGCTGCCGAAACCAATTACCAATCCTGTATCTTCCTGATCATAATCAATTCCAAAGCATCGAATCGTGAACCAGCTTCGGCTTCGACCTGAATAAATGTGGATCTTACGACAGAATCAAGAAAGACTACCACCAGTTACCGTACCAGATATCCATTAGAAGGACCAAGGATAGAAGCCAAAGTCAAGAACCACGCACCGAAATATCATCCGTACAGCAGCAGATATCACGCAGAGCGGTTGACCTGCGAAGGAAGCCGACAGGCAGTACAGCAAGACGTCTTCAACACCTAGAAAGATTCGACACCAACCTCTCCCGCCTGGCGGCCTCCTGAGGTGTGGAAGAGAACAGAGCACGCAGGCTGCAACAGGGAGAGAGAAACGGGAAGGAGTGGGTGAGTGACTGGAGAGAGTGGAGAGAGTGGAGAGAGTGGACAAAGAGAGATCCTCCGCACATCTCGGGATGAATCAATCAGTCGGTCTTCAACACTTCAAGGACGGGAAGGGAAGAGCGAAAAATACGACGAGCCACTGGCTTCCTGTCAATGTCGCCGCCAGACGCCGTCGGGGGCGCCGACTCTGCTTCTTGATCTCTCTCTGGCTTCGCCTCTGTGTTCTCGGCGAGCCTCAACACCAACCTACACCCCCTTCTCCCAGAGCTCTCCCAAGAAAATTCGTAGTTCGGAATGGCGGAAGCGGTTCTTGGGGGGGAGAGAGGGTGGGAATTCCGACGGTCAGTAGTGGCGCGTCAGAGAGGGCGCCGGACGAAGATCGACGATCGGAAATGACTATACTACTCTCCACTAAGTCCCCCTGAAGACTCGTCCGCTTCTGCGAATGTCGGGGTATTATGGGAATAATTTAAGGGTCATTTCCGTTGCGGAACAACCGACTCGTTCCTCTCTCTCGCCGAGGTTTGGACGGTGGTCCCGTCCACGTGTGCTCCGGGCGAGAAACGTGGCATGACGTCGCCGTCCTCCCTTACCTCCTCTGCACGCCATCGGACGGCGAGGACGAGGAGGCAACCGGTGGCCACAGAGAGGTCGAAATGCAGAATGGGCCTCCGCCGCGGACGCCGGCCGGCGGCGCCGCCTTTTCCGCCGGAGATCACAGCGTCTGTAGTGAACGTCAAACGGTTGCTGGCCGTGTGCTCTCTCTCTCTCTCTCTCTCTCTCTGTTTCTGAGGCTGCCATGTCGTAATCCTCGGAGAGCGATGGGCTGGGGCGGGGAATCCAGGAGTCGAGCCCGGGCGCAGAATCTCGCCCGCGCACCATGGAAATCGGGCGGTGAGGGGCCGGTGGGTTCTCCGGCCGAAAGTGGGCCGCAGGAGAGGGGGGAAGTAGCCGTTATCGCCAGCGTGAGGAAGAGGGGGGGGGAGGAGAGAGAGAGAGATGCCACTACCGCCGACGAATCCCCCCCCCCTTCGAGTCGGAGCGAGTCACGAGAAACGGGTTGAACTCGGGCGAGATGGGAAATTGCGGGGGCTCATCGCGAGTGAGGCCCATTCACGACATTTCACTAGGGGAAACCTAGGTCGGCCGATCCCACGGGGCCGCCGATCCCTCCCTCTCTGTGTGGCGGAGCTCGTGCGCCACGCTCTTCTCCGGTCGCTGCGCGGGAATGAACGCGGGTTCCGTGGCGGAGGATTCATTCGGCGACCGATCGAGATTCAACGGCTCCAGTGGATTCTTTCCATGAGTTCTCAGCGACAGGATTCAAAACTGCAGAAGGACACAGAGAGAGAGAGAGAGAGGCGAAGGGATGGGAAGAGCCGAGGACGCCGTCCTCGTCTGCCCCGTCTTCTACTTCTTCGAGAGGAGGATTTCGCGGAGGTCCGCGGCGTCCACGTCGCCGAAACGGTTCTCCGGGATCCAGTTCCCCGTGTTCGGGTCCCTCATCCAGAAGACCTCCCGCTTCCCCGCCGATGACCTGGCTCCCGACTGGACCGCCGGAGCCGTGGCGCTGCTCGAGGCCGCGCCGCTCCTCTCCGTCTCCACCGACGCCGCGGCAAAGGCCCTCCGGGCGCTGCGACAAGAGGAGGTGGGTGACAAGGACGTCGAAAGAGAGCACCTGACGAGGAGGGGAGAAGAAGAAGAAGAAAAGGAAGAACCAGATAACTATGAGCAGACTCACCGGCGGAGCATGAGGGCATTGACGGGCGCAACCCTCCGCATTGCTACTGAGAAGCGAGCAGCGATCTCCGCCCCGGCGACGAGCGGCGATGGCGCCCCTGCAGGTGAAGCCTCTGGGTTTATATAGAGATGGACGGAGGGTGGGGACGCGAGGTGGTGTACTCTGGGCACTGCGGTAAGCACACCATTTGGTCATTACTGGTTCCCCAAAGAGCCGCAGGTCTCCATTCGACCTGCAGCTAAAACTGTGGGCGGCTAAAACTCACCGCTCGCTCCCAACGATAGAGAGAGAGAGAGCGAGCTTTATTGGACGGGTTTTCGTACGGGCTTGATTGTATTCGGCCTATAGATGGCTTGGGTTGGGCATCTCCTGGGCCCAAGATGCGTCTATGAGTCTAGTCTGACTGGGTCAGATCCAAGGACCCACTTCAAGTTTGATTCCTTCGTTATGGCCCAGCGCCCATCAGGACTGACGGGCCCAATAAGAGATGGGCCGCGCTGGTCGTTGACGGATGCGACCTACTTACCCGCCTCCATGAGAGGAGGCGTCGGCCGGTCGTCGATGTCATCGGATAACGCACGGGTGATGAAGACGAACCGGGGAGTTTATTGGGATCCTTGACTAAGTCAACCATGGAGCCTCAGCCGCCGGGTCAAACTCGGTGTCCCTGTTCGGTCAAAACCTGGGAACCGGCTAGAAAACAGGTCAAACCTGAATAGGTTGGACTCCGAGTCGTTCCGAGTCGTCTCTCATTTATCGGGAACTTTACAGAAAAAATATCTCCAGTGTACATACAGCTCGTCCCCTCACCGATGTAACTCGGGGGGAAGAGGGTTCATCGATGCGCTCTTTATTCTCGTTCTGTACGCATCCGGCAAACAGGATTCACAATAAAATGCGTTCACTGAGGAGAGAATGGAAAGAATCCGAGGAGATGTGGGTCGTGCCTTGGGCGAAACCCTCTGCTTGCTCTACGGCCATTAACAGCCTTGAAGCCATCCGATCATCGTCGGCTCGGAGAGCTGGGATCCAGAGAGAGAGAGCTGCCACCAGCCTGCTTATGTCTTCCGAGGTGTGTGCAGACGTCAGTGTCAACTGTAGGCGGCAAGCGTTTGGTGCCACCACCGGGGGCCTGATTGCCGTCACATGGAAACCACATTCCAGCATGTGCCTACTCGCATTGACAGCTTCTTGCTCAGAGCCAACGAGAAGCGAGACGAGAGGACTCATGGCGGAACATCTCGTTAGGGCTGCAAATTCTTGCACCCTGCTCCACCCTGCTCCACACCGCTCCCCTGCGCCATGATTCCTTCTTTGCGACCTCCACCGCAGCTGCCGCCATGAATAGCATCGATCAACCATCGACGACGCAGTCTTAGATACAACTTACGGAAGCAGCTGGGCTGTAAACGAGACGATACCGTAGCAAGCGGCGATGATGGGTACAGGAGTCGAAGTGGCGAAGGTGAAAGGCTGGCCCCTTGCTTGAATCAACTTCTTCCATCCTTCACTGAAAAATTCGCCGAGGCCAGTGAGCGGATCAATAGCGATAACTCCTCCACCGAGGCTGAAATTTGGAAAGGCATTGTCTTAACCTGCAAGCAATGAAACCAACTCGGCAGCCAGTGGCCTTGCTCAAAGTCCCGATGCAAATGTCGATCTGATCCTGAATACCATACACCTCTCCGATTCCGCCGCCGTTCCTCCCGCATGTCAGTATTGTATGAGCCTGACGAATCAATTAGGAGGCGGGAAAGGATTTTAGTGGGCAACTCCGAGAGATCAGCTAGTAGAGGTCGAGGAGACGTGTCGATTGGAGTGAAGTTTTGCTGACCTCGTCAACGACGAATAAGTATCCGTGTTTTTTTCTGAGCTCAACTAGCTTCAGTATGGGTGCAAAGTCTCCATTGATACCGAACAGACTGCATCAGTGTCGAGAAAGGAGTGAGGAATACTAACCCACCAGGGAGCCAATTTCACGGTAGATAGTACGTCGTGTAAGCTGCTTGAGGCGTCCAAAGACCGGTGTTTACCTTTCGGAATAAACGACTTTCTTCTCGGCTGGGCAACCCGACAGAAGTTCGTCAAGATGATCAATATCGTTATGCCTGTAGACGAATACGTCGGCTTCCCGCTGCTCCTCGACTAAGCGAAGGCCGTCGATTATAGTTGGGTAGTTCAGGATATCGGCGAATATCCCAATCCTTTCCTCTCTTGTTGGTCGTCGGCCGGCGGACGTTAGAGAAGCGACGTTGCCGAGAGCTGAGAGGAGTGCGATGCGGGCAGCGAAGCCGGTGGGGGTGATTACACACGCATCCTTCTTGGTCATCTCTGCCAAGGTATCTTCAAGAAGGCGGTGGTAGTCGGTGTGGCCGCAGGTCATGAAAGGCGCTCTTGGACCCATTCCATGCACCAGGGCTGCCTGTCCGTATTGCCAAAGAAGGATTAAACACAGCGTCTCGAGGGGCGCGCCAGAAGCTCGTCCAATTCCAAATAATTAGAATCGACAGATCACTGCGTATTGGCGCACCTTGGCGGCAGCCTTCCGAACTGCCGGGTGGGTACTCAGGTTCAGGTAATCGTTCCCATAGAAGGTGATCATCTTCTTGGCGCCAGGTGTTCCTGTCAAATTCCCCGCCTCCACCTCCAGCGTGCTCCGGTCCCATGGGCCAGGGCCGTCAAACGTCTCGAGGCCGTAGAAGGGATCTTCTGCAGGACTGACCCTCGGGAGGCAGATATTAGGCTGATGAAGAGGGTCGTCGTCCTTGTCCACAATCTTCAGCGTCCTCCCGAGTCGATCCTCCCATAATGGGAGGCACGCCATTTTCTGCAGCTGTAAGAACAGGGAATATGTGCGAGGTTGGTGGCGTTGTAGGAAGAGGAGTTCGCGCGGGGAGAGCTTCCTCTTCTTCTGTTGCCGATGCAGGTTCACATCTTAGGTTTCCTCGCATTTATTTCCATAGGAAAGGAGGTTCCAGGGAAACTTCACCCGGAATGGCTGAGCTAGCTGACGCTGTATATCTGATAGGCAAGACGAAGGGTCTCCTTCTTTTGTTGACCAAGCGTGCTGGTTTCTTTCGGTTCCTGTGGTCGTAGTGGGTGGGTCCTAGTCTTCGCCGTGGCGTAAACAACACGGGTTGGGAGTTCGAGTAGTCTAAAGGGGCATTCATTTTATACTCGGACAAGATCAACGAGTCTTTAGAGGATGGTGGAGACAGTCGAGGGGAGACTTTCCAAGAGGTTTCTCTCATTCACCCAATACTCTTGCGTTAGGCAATTCACGTGATTTGGGTCAAGGGTTTGACCTTTTCCTCAATTACTGAGTATCACTTTACTTGCCAAAAACAAGCATGCTTCTCGAATAAAAATTGGGGGTCATCGGAGTCTCAGAGAATACCTGCGAAAAACGGAGATATTATAGTAGACAAGGTGAAGAGCCTGGTGGTCGAGTGCTCCGATATTTGTGAAGGCTTTGAGGATAGTTTCATGGTAGCTTTTGTTGAACTAAGCTTTAAATTATGAACATGAGAAAGATACAGTGCCGACTGCTCTCGATAGAAACCCCGACGAAGATGATCTTCTTCCCGGGGTAAGACCACTTGAACCAAGTCACATCCGGATGCGCACAAAAGCCGCTTACAATGGTCTGTTTACTAGTGTCAACACGTCGGCGGGCATCTAAGAAGACATAAATATGGATTTTCTTTGTTTAAAAGGATTCCGTGTTCCGTTGCTTGAACCAGATGAGATCTACGTTCGGGCTGCCTTAGTATGGGCGTCGTTCGAAGAGCCGACCAGCGACCACGCTGACTTTCGTCGTCTTCTGGAGGACACCTTTGCCCCAAGAGGTGACTACTGGTTTCGTTGTCGACGCCACATTCCTCTCGATATCGTGAAGTACTGCCACGATGACGTCAGTAGCCCGTCCAAGAGCATTATGATCGCGATAGCCTCAGACGCTTTGAATCCAGCCTCCACTGCTGATGGGCTCCGCCTGGTCTTGAACTACTCGACGCGGATGTGTTTGCTTAAAAAAGCAACGACATAGAGCACCTCGGCGAGGTTATACTCACCTCCATCCTTTGGAAGGAGGTCGCCTTTTTGGGGCAGGAAACAACTACAGGAAGACTCTCGCAAAGGGAAGAGAGAAAGTTTGTATCGGCAGCGATTATATCCTCTGCTCTTACAATGCCAGCCTGTTAGATGATGTCAAATACTGATATCATCAGAATATCTGATCAAGTTGGTCGAGGATTCCAAACTTGCAATTGCTGACGCAGAAGACTGCAATCTAAATCAGGGTTTTGCCGCAGTGAGATGTGAGGAATTGGTTTTCCGACAGACCATAGTCTCTTCAGCTACAGATATAAATAATTTCTGATTAATATTCATGTTGGAAGATATTAAATACTGATATGATCAGAACATCTGATAAAGTTGTCGATTGTTCCAAAACATGCAATTGCTGATGCAGAAGATAACAATCTTTATTGGGTTTTCATCCAGTGGCATATGAGAAATTGGGTTTCATCCAGTGGCAAGATGAAGGCTAAATTCAGCCCCTGGTATAGAGTGAGTATTGTTTGGTAGTCGATGAGTACATTCTGCCCGATTTCCCACCTACGGCATGTCTCCGTCATCACCACAGTCACTACGGTTGCATTCAAGAATGCGGAATCTGTTTAAGAAGGGCCCCTGCAAGCATACTTTCAAGAATATGATACAGATGCAACGAAAAAGGTCATAATAGCCAGCGATGATAGGTAATGAAACCGAAATCGGAATATGTTTGCTTCACACTAGTAACTTTAGAACTTTTCCCATCTTTTGCAGTTTATGAGCGGGAAGGAAGGCCTGAGCTGCTTGCTCAGGCAGGATCACTCGTGTAACTAAACAACAAGGAAACAAAGTATAGAGTTCATAATTTTTTGGTTGTTCCTGATGGACGTTCTGAACCAAGTAATGCCTCTCCCACCCTAACTTGAAGTACTAACTCAGTATCTATCTCATCTAGAATACCACACACCTCATCTGTCATAACCCTTATCTCACTCTAGTGCATTTCTCCTTCTGGTTAGGAATAAAGATGTTTTTGAACAATCTATTTAAAAATTAAAGTAGATGATCCGGCATGAATCTCAGTAATCAATTTTTATGATTCTAATTATTGATCATTTTTGAACTAAAATCAAATCTTCTTGGAAAAAATTGTAATATGAAAAATATGCAACATTCAAAAGTTATATAAGAATGGCCCTTTGTGGGTGGACTTGGTGAAATGGGAACAGCCTCATTACAGCCAAATCAGTTTGGGCAGACAAAGGAAGAAACGAGTCACATATGTCACATTTTTTGAGGTCATCAATGTAAGTATACTTCTTGAGGTTGACCCTAAATGACTATAAATAGAGAGCCTCTTCTCTCCATTTGTCTATTGATATAGATAGTAATGAAAACATAAAAGAGATCAAATAAATGATGTAAACACCATAAATGCAATTTGATGTGACATAATCATTGCATAATAAATCATAAAAAAATAAATTTCATAAAACTAGAAAATAAAATTTTAAACATTTAAAAAATATTTCAAAATAAATAAATCAATTATAATTCGATAAAAGGTTTCAAGTGAGAAATTTTTAGGTCAATCATAGAGATGTAAGATAATATTTGGTAATAATTCAGATTTATTTTCAAATAATAATTTTTTATATAATTTTTAAACTAAATGATGAAGATAAAATATATTTAAAAATTTATAAAAAAGGAAAATTTAGGTGCAAACTTCAAGATGACGTTAACGTCTCACCAAATGTAATCCAGATAGAAATAAAGTTTACACCTGATGATTTTTATGTAAATGATTACAAATAATTTAATTGAACAAATTAAGATATTTAAAAGCTAAAATAATCATAATTGAATGAAAAAGGTTTTCAAAAGTTAAAATCACACAAAATCTTACTAAATTAAGTAAAAATTAAGTTTATAGTAGGAAAATTAGAATTATGACTTTGTGGTGGCAATTGTTAGAATTTTATGTTGAGGAGAATTATTGTGATGTCTATAACCTCAAAGGTTCTCTTTGGATATGAGCAGTGTGAACAATCTCTATATCATATTTAAAAATTCATAAATTGATAAGATGAGTCAATAAATCATTATTGATGATTGTCACTCAAGAGTTATTATATGACGACTTGCAGATGTTCAACGACTATCACTCAATGGAGATAAGTTGGATAGTGGTGACACATTATTGAAGGAGTTTTATCCTCAAGCCTTTATAATAAGAGGAGGTTTTTTATTGCATTTGGTATGTTTTCAAGAGGTAATGACTCATTTTTTAGTGGATCGTACTCTTCTTAATGTTGACTTATTCATTGATTAATCAAAAATGATTTACTAGATGAATTCATAATCTTTTCATTCATAATCATTCATCAGTTGATAACAATACTTTATGAATATAGCTGACAACATTTTCATTGATAATTGAATGATTTTGATGACTTAATCATTGACCAATGTTCTGTAGTAAAATTATAATTTAATTAGGTAAAAATATAAATTTTGGTTATAGTGAGATTTAAACCTTTTTAAGTCACTCACTTGTATGAAAAATAGTTAAGTAAGTATGCAAATACCCTTATCAAATAATCTTATATGAGTATATCTATCTTATCATTAATTGATCTTTTATCTATATAAAAAAAGTAAAAAACTTACTAGTGACTATTTATGTAGTTTAGTCTCACATCAATTATTATTTAAGTTTAGAGAAAATATATAATAATACCTCTAAATTTAATATAGTCCTCTCACATGTGTATGGCTATTCATTGTCTCACAATTGACTAGCCACTAGTGACGTAGATAGTGAGTGATGCACACATGCCCCCAACTAGTCCTTAGCTCCTTGAACACCTTACTTATGGGCCCAATTAATCGGCAAGTCTCTCTTTTTCTAAATATTTATTTTATTTATTTTTATTTTATCTCAAAAATAATATTATAAAAATTATATAATTTTATATAAAATCACATAATTAATTAAAACTTCACATTAATCAATTAAAAACTACTTTCCTTAATTGAACTCAAATATAAGTCTATTTATTATCATTTAATACTTAAAAAATGTTATTAATAATTATTAACGCATGATAATAAAAACTTACTACAATTACAAATGAAAAAAATGGCATTCATTTTCATCTAATTTTTTGATATATGAATTGTGTAGAACATATGTATTTATGAGTTAGTGGACTAGTGAACTATGAGTACGTCACACCACTTCCAAGAGACATAGATTAATCCACCCATGTGATTGAGAATGAAGTTCCGGAGTCATGAAATTTCCAATAAATTAAATAATAAGACACATACATTTCGGTGCATTTGCCTCATAACAAGGCAACTAAATCAAACGAATATCAACAAGCAATGCTTTGGTCCACATCCGTCGAGTGAATTCTCGAAACGGCCAACCAAGAACTGCACTGTTTATAAAATTTCGACATCCATCCCTCGATCGTTTCGGCGTCCTCATCTGCCGAAGGGTTGATAGACGAGGCTGAACTGGAGCGTTGACGACATTCCATGATCAAAGTCTTGCGGCAATTTGATCTACCGGGCGGTTGAGTCCGGGGACGCACTCGGAGAGTGCGGATACGAGCCTTTTGACGTCCTCCGAGGTATGCGCGGTCGTCAGCGTAACCCTAAGCCTGGAAGATGAAACGATTCATCAGTCTAAACCCCATGGAGAGAAGGCGGCGTTGTTGGAAGGATAGCCGGAGAGGAGGGTGAGAACTCACC